TTTATTTTTTGGTCCCATGATTCTGTTTCTCTAGTTCTTTACTCAACACCAAATTAGAAAAGACCTGAATTTTAATTTTAAAAGAATTAAATAAAAAGCAGCCCCCAAAGAATCTAAAAATAAATGAGAGACAGCAGTCTCTCTTAACCACCAGAGGAACAAAATGTGCCAGCATGAACTGTAAAGTCACTCACTTAGGGACTGAAACCAAAAACCTCAGAAAAGAGGATGTTCTTCATTTGGAAGCCGTAGAACATAAGAGTAGCCCAGAGCACTGTTTGACAATACAGTGACTGTGTGCCAATAAGACACAGGCTATGTGACTTCAGGATGTACCATACAGTGCATTTTCATTAGAGACAGGGAAATACCTGTGATCCAAGAACAGGCAAAACCTCACTTGGAAAATAATACCCACAGTTCTATGATGTCTGAACCAGAAAGAGACATTTTCACATGCTGAAAGATGCGGGAGGAGGCTTCTAGAAGAAGTAAAATGAAGAATGTTTTCTCCTGACAGTGTGCATTGTTTAACCTTCCAAGTCAGTCTGGGACGGAACAGGATTACTTCATCTAAATACAATTGAGATGTTAAAGCTGGGAAAGAAGAATTTTCTCTGTTGGAGAATTATGTGACCAAGTTGGTGTACAGTGATCATGAGTTAATCTAGGCTATTGATTAAGAAGAAAATTTGCAAACATTAGAAGGATGAGGTTGTGGAACAGCCTTCCAGGGAAGGCCTCGGCAGCAATATCCTGCTTATTTTCAACACCAACCTTTAGAAAATTAATGGGAAGTGCTGTATAACAGGACAAGAGTGTTCTAGGAGTCAAAAGTTCAAACTTCAAAGACACAAGACTGTTGCTGTTGATAAATCTGAAAGCCATCTGAAAAGAAGCTTATCAATGTTCTGCAGGCTGCATCATGTTTACGTATTTAACTAAATTCTTCAGGATTTGCATTGGTCTCCTACATTTTAGTTTTGCCCCTTTTTGCATTTTTTGTCTCTCTTAAGCTCTATTCCCATACTGCCCTGAGGCACTGAGGACAGAGGATGCACAAAAGCACCATATTGGGCCAGATGTACTCCAAGGGACATCACACAATCCCAGTAAAGTCAGGTGGGTGCAGCTGGTTTGACCACTCATACCATCATACAGCTTACTTGAGAGAAGGTAATTCTCACTGAGGCAGACAAACAGATTGGTATCACCATCTGTTATGTGTTAGGTATGACCAACTTTGTAGGACCTCAGAAATTTTTGTCAAAAGAATTTCTATTTCAAGGCCTAGCACACTACTGATACTCTTGACATATCTTTCTCTTTTGCCTTGGCAGATTGGAATTTTCATGAGATTTGGTGCTAAAAGCATTGATGAGTTCCAGAATTTTCCACGTGGTTTAGGGAAGTCTGATGTTCCTGTGGCTTCTCTTGCCCTTAACACCTAATGTATAGCTTTCTGCCAGAAGAAAGGAAGGCTTTGACTCAGTAACTTACGCTGACTCTTACAAATCTATATGCTTCCCTCTTTTTAAATAGCAAGGGGACAACAACAAACATGGTATGAGATACACTGAAGATATTAAACAGATAGTAGGTCACTGGAATTCATACTGAAACACAGTCTCTTGGGTTCTTCTGCCTCGTCCACGCTAGAAGTTGAAGTAACTAAAGTGAGACATCTAATCCTCCCTGTGCCTTTTGGACAAGTTAGGCCTAAAAGAAGGTGGAAACATTGGTACTAGTCCCTGGCTTCCAACAGATCCTTGTGTGGTTTGAAAAGTGGAGGCATGGAGTCCTTATTTTCTCAGCTGCTTCTTGGACTGTTGCATAAAGACAAGTTAGTTATACAATAGCTAGATAGTGATTACACAACTTAGCTCCATAAATCTAAATCAGGATCAGAGTTTCTATTCTGCACTGGACAGACAAAACAATGCGGAGGGGCAAAATTCTGATCCTAATGAAGTTAATGACAAAACTCTTGCTTAGTTCTGTGAGATCACAGTTTCATGCAAAATCTTAGCTCAACCTTGTAGCTGGCTAAACAGGCTGGGTATTTAAAGCACATCTCTGTTAAGTTTTTCCAAGTACTGATGTGAGATGAGTTTCCTTTTTTGCTTTCATTAAAAAACGTAAAACAAACAAACAAAAATAATATTTTAAGACTAAATACTAAGCAGTGTCTGCAAACTTGGCCTGTATGCCTGGAAAAGTCCTGAAGTACTCTCTCCGAGTTCAAGAAAACATACTAGCAAAATGTCCTTTCCCATGTTTCTGTGTCGGCACTTTAAGCCACAAAGGCTGCTGATGAGTCACATTATTTGGGTGTCAGAGAAAGAAGGGAAAATCTGACTTGTGGTGGTTACGTGTCCAAACAACAAAAAACAGACATCAACAAAACAAATCAAAGCCCCAGACCTAAAACCAGCAAGTAAACAATGCCATGAAACAGTGCACTGTGATACAAGGACTACAAGGCAGCAGCGTCACTGCTGTTTGTCACACAGATGAAACTAATTATTTGTCAGTTGGATTAGTTTGACCTGGAGTAGATGGCACTGTGGGAGAAGAAAAGGTCACTGCAATTTCTTCAAGTACCCATGCTCATTCTGGTCTGACTTCTGAAGACTACTGCTGTTTCATTGAATGTTAGCACATATATCAGGGTTCCCTTTACCCTCGAGATTCCTATCTGATGAAAAACAAAAGGGAAAAAAGGAAGAGAGGAGGTAAAAGAAAGTTTGTGCAATTAGCATTGCACATCGCATACATTCCCAGCCCAAGGGTTACTTCTCTCACTTTTGTCCCTGAAGTGTCTTTACAACTGAGTTGATTCAGTGTAGAGTGTCCTTAACAATCTGATGGTGAAGAAGTACTGGTGACCATCCTTATCTTACAAAGGCAAACTATAAATAAGCATCTTGGGAAAATCCAGCAACCTGACAAGGTTGGTAAGATCCCAGTAAATTAATTCCAGTGAGTTAATACACACAAACACCAAACCATTTCCCATGGGGCTTTTGGAGTTGTATAAAACCTTCCAGTAAGCATTAGATGGATCTCTCAAGGTTGGGGAAGAATTGCTTCTGTGTATATGATTAAGTGTGAACAGTTAAAACAGACTTGGTATAAACAATTAGGTATGTTCAGTCAATGCAATCCCAGTGTCATCACTGATGATTTTATTTCTTAGGTCCGTCATAGATTAATTCTCCGGGCAACAATCTGAAAAGTCATCATTCAGCTTCTGACTAGCCCACATATGGCTGGCCCAAGGAGGACTGTTCAGAATCTCAAAGGCTCAGCTGTGTCTTCCAGCTTTTATCAGTCCAAAATAGAGTGGCAGAGTGGGCTGTGGGTCTGTCTCTGCTCCACACTAACTAAATGTGAGGTGATGGGGAAACGGTCCTTCTTGGTTTTTTTACTGTGCCAAACAAATGACTATACAAATCTATATTTTCATTCAGCCCCTCTGACATTTGTCTACCTCATCCTCCCTTCAGCCACATTTGTGTCTTTTTACTAATACCTCTTCCCAATCTTGTTTTCTTTCCTTAATGAACTGACTTACTTAGAACATCTCACATCCATTATATCACCCTCATCACACACCGTCCTGTTTCTTCTTTCTTTCTTCCTGAACAACAATGGTTTTCCCTTGGCCTCAGAAGACTGACAAAATAATGAGGGAGAGAGAATAAAGAGTGTGACTCTGAAAATGAAGCAATGGAAAAATACAGAGTTTCACTTGAATGAGGTGCTTTGAAAGGCACTCAATGACTTCCAGGTTACTTAGAACTTCCCCATGTCATGGCTCAGGTAGGACAAAATTCTGCTCTCGTTGTAAACTTCTGCTCCATTGTGTAGAAGCTTTGTTTGAGTGCTTGTGTGTAGGACTCAAGGATTAACAGAGGGATGAGCAGTGAAGAAGACACTGCTCAATACACTATGACATGCTTGTGCCAAATCTCAGCTGCCTCTAGGAAGCACAGATGATTACCTATCTTCTATCCTTTTCTGCATGTAGTTTTTCCATGGCAAGAGTTACTTTCTCTCTCCCTCTCTCTCTCTCTTTTTTTTTTTTTTTCCAGAATTCAAAACAAAGCAAAACATTTATCACTCAAAAAATGCTGCCTTTATCTGTTACTGCTAAGCTTGAGCATTCATTCTTAAGTGTAATGATGAAGACGGTAAGTGAATCCAATCTTGCTCGAATACAGAACAGAGGCATGTCCTCAGTCACAGCAAGTACAGTTCACTCTTCAAATGCAAATCAAGAAAACCTAGCCTTTGGTGCTCACTGGTGTCCTTGGAAAAACAAATAGAGCCAGTGATTACAATTCTGTATATTTTTCCAAGTCCTGAAATGATATCATGCTTGTTTTATGTACACCAAGTAGCTTGAGGTGCCAAGTTTACAAAATAACAATATATAAGAGAAATCTGGTTTGTATGTTTACTAATTACTATGTTTGCCTTTTGAAAGAAGAAACAAAGAACAGAGAAGACATTCCTCAGCTGTTAGATAAAGCAACATTCAACAAACACTTCTTATGTCTACCTTCCTCTGTCCTGTCAAGCATCATCTGGACATCAAGGCAATCTCCTTTCAGGCATCCCACAAACAATGGCACAGAAGGGCATTGTCCTTCTACGGACACCAGCACAATTAGAGTGGATAAGGAGGAGACCTTTATTTTATCTAAGAAGAATTCACTGATAACAAGTGATGTGAGAAGCAGATATAGAGCATGTACTTAAAGATTAATAGTAGCTTATCTTACAGGATACAAGTCCAGCATTCACAAACTAACAGCTAGGCCATAGATTGCCTTCTGTAAGCCATGAAAACCTGATAGCCTCTGTTCCATTCATGAAGTCACACATGTGGGAGCAAACAGCAAATGCTGCCAACTACATGACTTGAATTATAGCAGGTATATCACTATGGTAAGCTGGACCTCAGTTGCTAGCACTTACAGCAGTTCACTTACCCTGTAGTAGTCTGTGCTATACACATCTCTAGACATCCCAAAATCCCCAATCTTCACCAGTAGGTTCTCACCAACCAGGCAATTCCGGGTAGCAAGGTCCCGATGCACGAAGTGCTGTGATGCCAGGTAAACCATACCAGCTGCAATCTGCTGGGCAATATGAAGCATCTGGGACTGCGTCAGCTCAGCTGGTCGGTTGCCTTCTGCCATCAGTACTGCGTCTGGACCATGTGCCCTGCAACAAAATGCAAGCCGATTTAGTGACAGGCCACTTCTGAGATATAGAGGTGAAAAGCATTAGTGATCCTAAAACCAGAGAAGTGACTTACTCAAGTAAAAGAATAAAAACTGTTACAGATTCATTGGTAAAATAGCAAGAATTTGTGTCTTGGTTTTTTTCACTTATTGTTTTCTATCACTTAGAGAAAGACAGGTGATTTGAAGAGAATTATACAACAGGTATATATATTGTTCATAAGGAGATTGGTTCACAGCAACAACCCCCTGTCTCAAACAACAACCTCTTTCATGTTACATCCTTGTAACTTTAAGAAATAGTTATCAGCATTCCTGCACTATAAGCATCGCTAACCAATCCCTGGCCAGTTAATGAGGCAAACATACCTCATTTAATGCAATTTATAATCTTCTGAATAACACTTTCCATCCATTCTTCCCTTCTGGGTTTTCAGAAACCTTTTTAATTCTATTCCTGCAGACTACTCTTTCCAAGAGATCACCCCAGCTATTTTGGAAAAATATTCTACAACCAGTTTTAATTTTCTCTCAGAAGTCCTTCCTTCCTCCAAAGGAGAGTTTCAGAGAATCGCATTTCTAATCAATAAAGGTGAGACCTTAATTTATCCCTAAGAGAAGGGCATGGGAGTTTGGAAAAGAGGTGCAAATTAATCAAAATCTATGAGATAAAATCTGACATTACCTATTAGAAATGCGTTATTAAAATTGCCCCAAGGGAAGAACTTCAAGAGCAGAGTGACAGATGTGAGAAAGAAATGAAAGAAGGTACATAGCATGGCTGGCATTGCATCTGTTACCAGGTAAAGAACTTAACATCGCTTTCTTTGCCACAGGGTGTACCTAGCCACTGATTTGGTTTGAGTAAGGGAAATAATCAGGAAGACATGAAGGCTCCTACAAATACCCAGAGAAAATTTTTATCAAAAAGCATTGTACCCATTAATTGAGCTGATTTTTACTAATGACTGCTCTCAGATATGAAGCTCCAAATCACTAAATTAGAGAGCTCTACAGTTTTTGTTCGCTTCCTTGGTCTGTATGTAATGAAACTTTTGGATTATTTTTAACATTGTCTGTTTTTCTTTTACTTGTGATGTGGTCTGTAAATGAGGTGCTCCTCTGTGTCTGCAGCAGCCAGTAACATTCTTTGGATCCACATTAGCGTCCACTGCCCAGAACAAGCACTGGGCAGGAATGACTTCGAGGCAGTGGAGCTAAATCTGAAACAGCCTTTGGCTGCGCGCAGACAGCAAGGCTAATTTGGGTTACATTTCAGATTCATTTTCCCTATCAGCCTTTGGTGGCGCTGTAGGGTAAGAAATACAGGCTGTTACAGCCCGCGTACCGCTCACCTCTCATCTGCAGCACAAGCTGCATCAGATGTGAAAGGAATGACAAATTGCAGCTTAGGTTAAACAGCTTGTCCCAGCATAATCATTTTACATTCTAAAGACTAGGACTGATTAATAATTAAAAAAAAAAAAAAAAAAAAAAAAAGGAGTGAAGACCTAATGGGGGAAATATATTGACTGTTAAACTACGTTTCTGTACCACAATTCTATGACAGTTAGAAGGTAAGAAAAGGTCAACAGAAAAAAATCAAAGAATAAGTATTTCTTCTAATGACAATGAATCAGCAGCAAATCTGGCTTCCTCTAATGGAAATTCAGTGCTCTGAAAAAGTATTGGGCTGGCATCTTTGGAAACTGCAGTCTTCTTATCCACGGCAGAGGTCCAAACAGGCAAATGTAAATGCACCGACATTGCTCTCACAATACACTTCAATCCTTTGCCAAAGAGACAATCAGTCGGGGAAAAGTAGTATTTGTTCTGCATCCCCAGTTCAAGATTTGGTCTCTCTGCCAGCCCCAGCAGCCCTTCCAGTAATGGAGGATGCTAGTTGATGTCATTTGCTTTTATACACTGTGGCTGTTTGTTCATTGGAGATTAGAAGGACAGCAAACTCACTTCACAAAGGCTAAAAAAAATGGTGACACAAGCAGTCACTAGCAATTTCATAAGACAAAAACCTGAACCATTTAAAGGGACATTAGTTTGATTGTTTTGCTGCTTTGTCAAAAGCATGCATTAAAGGAACATCTTTCCAAAATGGTGGTGCTCCTACCACAAGAGATCTCAGTACAGTGAAACGTTTTTTGATATTCTGTGATGGAAATGACATGGAAGACCTTGAAAGAACAGTCCCTTATGCATATGTTTTTATGTAGGAGCACAAGCTGTCTCCTAGCTTCTTATTTTTATGTTAGTGAATACACACTGGTGGAAATGGCACATACACAAGGCCAGTGTTCAAAGCTTGCTGATTCATGAGTTAGTTATTATTCTGAACCTTAGGTATCATCTACATATCTATGACTTCTTTACTGCCAAATTTTAATCTGTGATGTGCATTCTTCAACGGCTTTATGAAACAAAGCTGTACTCCAGAGCCCAAGATTCAGCATTTTACACTGCACTGAAGTTTTCATGGCTCACAGTTTTCTTGCCACAGACTAATGGCACTCATATCAAAACACTGGGAGGAGGGACGAGAAAAGAGGATACACTTCTGAAGCTTTTAGATGCCTACAGTTAGTGATAGGTGTTAAGTGGGATCTTTCAAAGTGCTATCAGAAAACAGTTCCTATCACAAGCTTTATAACCAAACATTTTAGAATACACTGAAATACATCTTGCTTGGTTTCAGTTTTTTTGGTGCAAAGTTTTAGGCTTAGCATTAAGCTGAGGCATTTCCAAATGTGCCGGAAAACAATGAGCTCCATACCACAGTACACATAATGACTGTTACACAGATTTGTACTTTTTGGTGTTTGCATTTTTCATGGGAGTTAAATTGGCATTAAATACCAGTAGCTTCCTTCACTGCCCAATTCTGGCTCTCTAGTACAATAAGTGATTAATTTACCTGAGGAATTTGTTCAGATCTCCATGCTTCATGTACTCAAAGACCATGATGAGTGGATCACCCTCGACACAGACACCATAGAACTTGACGATGTGCTCATGTTGCAGGTTAGTCAGCAGCTCTGCCTCACGGTGAAAGTCCTTGCGGGCATTGTCACTGGCATCCTTCAAAGTCTAGTGGAGAAAATGAGAATGATAAGAAGGAGACACGTTCACAGAAAGTAGTGAACATGTGGGATGGCATTGTAAGGGTAAGAAAAGGACACTGCTGTGTAAAGGATGGAGGAGTTATATTCTTAGCAACATTTTCGAAATGCAGATGTGACGTCTACATGCATTTAAATAAAAGAGTAAAGTACACTTTTTGTTCCTCGGCCCCATGTCATCCCAAACAACACTGTTTATAAGAAGATGTAGGAATACTCAGTCTTGCTTTTCCAAATACAGGAAAAAAAAGCCTTATCAAAAAAAATACACTAGTACCTGGCTGATTCATATTGTTTAGCATTTAGTTAGGCAAAATCCCAGTATCTTGTTGGTATTTGCCTCTGGTTTATGTTCCTCCCAATAAAGCTTTGCTTGCATAAAATACTTAGTAGGAATGTAGATGCACTTCTTACGTATCAATGGCATTGTTGCTATTGATGTTGGTCCCTGTGTGTGCTATATATTAGGCTATATATTAGGCAGATTTGTAGAAGGGAGATCAGATCATACATCCAAAGACCTCTGAAATTCAGTGAATGTATTTGCATGACTAAGATTAACCATATTATAAGTAACTGAAGGTTCAATCTCAAACTGATAGAGAGTAAGTAGGAGCAAAAAAGAATCCTTCCATGTCTATTTTTACTTTTCCCCCTTTTATTTATAGAACTCCAAAATCCTGAATATTTTCATTTTGAATGACATATATCAATGCTGGTTCAAATAGTAGTTTAAACTTTGTATAATGAAATAATGATAATTTACCGCTGCACATAAGCAGTTTCAGATCTCTTCTAGCATGGAAACACTTTCATGCATGAAAATAAAAGGAAATTCCGGCACCAATTAAGTTAGGAATAATCATAGTTGACAATAAACCACTACTGTGCTCTACCTTCAGGGATTTTGCTATATTATTTCAAACAATATTTTAAAAACAGTGTGCGAACATTAGCATGTTACCAATGTTCATAATCTATTATTCACAAAAACTGGAGGCTGGGTTCTGAACCTCTGTACTTTAACTACATGCACACTTTAAACAAAGGAAGGTAAGACAAAACTAACAACATCACCTTAACTTATGATGGTTTTCGCTGGTTATCCAGCCATGTTGTTTTCTACTTTGAATTCGTAAACATAATGTGAACCAAACATTCACGTCAGAACAGATATAGATTGATTCTGTGCAGTCATTATGCCAACAATCCCAGTTTTTTGTTATTTATATTCATGTTTTTTTTTTTTTTCCCCACAGTTTTTCTTTAGTACATACATTTCAGACCATTCTTTCAGTATTAAACATATGTATGTATGCATATGAGGGATTAGGGACTAAAAAAAGACTGTCAGAAAACCTTTGCTTTGTTTCTGAAATGGCAACCATAGGTCTCAAAACAGAACAACTAAGGTGACAACGTGAAAGAGAAACTGACTGGACATTTGTCAGATTCAGGGGCTATTCCTTGTGAATTTCAGGCTTTGGGGATCCCAAGGGCAACAGAAGCCTGCCATGCCACAAATGACACTTCCCTGAGGGACTCATTTATCAGTTTAATCTGTCTTCAGGCACAAAACCCTTCTTCCACAAATTTTACTAATAATGATGCAAGGTTTTGGATCACCATACCTTCACAAGCTATTACATATTAGCATAAAAAACTGTATCATCTAAGATAGATATCGAGTTCGCTCCTCAAATATACACATACAGATACCACATACAGATCAAATGAGGAATGAAACTGAAATGTCTTTCAATTGTTCCAGGCTCTAGGATGGTGCCTGAACATGATGCAGGCACAAACTCACAGTCCAACTTATGATGAAATCAATGAGAATAATTCTATTGTCAATTGAGTCTCCTATGGCGGTTTCATGTATAATGCGATATAATTGCATGTTGGACTAGATGTCTTCCCAGCAAGAGAAATTAAAAAAAACAATTCATATTAAAAACATTTAAAAATAATAGCTATGTAGGGAAAAAAAAATTATATAGAGAAGCACAGGTTCATACTGTTTCCAGCATACTCTTTCCATGGAAAGACAGTAAAAATGCTGACAGCTCTGCCGTGTGAGGATGGCATATTGTATATTTCAGAAGACTCTTTTTATCTCAGAGAAACAGCAAAATTATCATATGACAGAGCAGTTGCCATGGCAATTACACATTTTCTGTCAAACAGAAAAATACAGAAAGGTCTAAAGCCCTGGTAAAACTCAGACAGGGTTTCTACTACCAAGGGGCAACCTGACGTACTGTTACTTTCCACTGGAAGGTCCTCTCATTTCCTTTTAATTATCTCATGCAGCACACAGAATAGACACAATGCAAGAGAGACAGATGACAAAGGCTAGGAGGAGGCTGGAAAGTGAAACAATTAATAAGCAAGGAACATTTACATGGAAATTACACTGTGGAATGTGTTGAGCTTGTTCACAGTGTAAGCGAAAAAATCAAACCAAAATAAAACCCTAAGAGTACAAGGCAGAAACAAAGACATATTCATTAGTACCATCACTGACAAGTAAGCCAAAGCTCTGCATGCAAAGTACTCTTAGCAGTCAATGGGACTTTATCCAGAGCAGGGAAAGAAATACAATCACAAGCACATTTCCAATCATCAGGCTGCTGGACCAGCAGCTAAGGAAGAGTGGCATGCTCTCTTGGGCAACAGAAGCCTTTCCTGGCTAGGGCAGGCAAGTGTCCAGTTCTGGGCTCCCCAGTACAAAAAAGACAGGGATCTCTTGGAAAGAGTCCAGCGGAGGGCCACAAAGATGGTGAACGGCCTGGAGCATCTCTCCTATGAAGAAAGGCTGAGTGAACTGTTCAGCCTTGAGAAAAGAAGACTGAGAGGGGACCTGATGCAGGTCTATAAATATCTAAGGTGTGGGGGGCAGAATGGCAAGGCCGGACTCTTTTCAGTGGTGAGTGGAGACAGGACAAGGGGAAACGGCCGGAAACTGCAGCATAGGAAGTTCTGCACAAATGTGCGCAAGAACTTCTTTACAGTGAGGTGACGGAGCACTGGAACAGGCTGCCCAGGGAGGCAGGTCTTGAACATCTCCAGAGAAGGAGACTCCACCACCTCCCTGGGCAGCCTGTTCCAGTGCTCCGTCACCTCACTGTAAAGAAGTTCTTGCGCACATTTGTGCAGAACTTCTTTACAGTGAGGTGACGGAGCACTGGAACAGGCTGCCCAGGGAGGTGGTGGAGTCTCCTTCTCTGGAGATGTTCAAGACCTGCCTGGATGCCTACCTGTGCGACCTGCTGTAGGGAACCTGCTTTGGCAGGGGGGTTGGACTCGATGATCTCTGGAGGTCCCTTCCAACCCCTACAATTCTGTGATTCTGTGATTCTGTCCTAGCCTAGACATCCATGTAGAAAATGGTTCCTGCAGACTTGTTGAGTGCAGCAAGGACAAACCAACAGCTCCTCAGTCCACCCCGACACCACAGAGCTGCATCCATGCCAAGGTCAGGGGAGAAGTGTAGACATCTGGCTCACACCAACACCACTCCTACAGTATCAAGAGGCAGCTGAAAAATGTGCCCTGCGGGTCATCCTTACCTCCAGCCCCATCAGCTTAAACAAGGGCAAAACCATGTCTGGTAAACCAACCAGTACACAGTACCCTGAGCTTGAACAACCACTGTGGCATAGCAAAATTGGCCAATAGTGAAATGATAACTTCTCTGGATAGACTGGATCAATGGACCAAGGTAGACTGTATGAGTTTCAATACGGCCAAGTGTCAAGTCTTGCATTTTGGCAACCCTACAGGCTTGGGGACAATTGGCTGGAAAGCTGACAGAAAGGGACCTTGGTGTGGTGGTGGACTGAATAGGAGCCAGCAGTGTGCCCAGGTGGCCAAGAAGGCCAATGGCATCCTGGCTTGTATCAGGAATGGTATAGTGAGCAGGACGAGGGAAGTCATCCTGCTCTGTACTCAGCTCCGGTGAGCCTCACCATGAGTACTGTGTTCAGTTCTGAGCACCTCAGTACACACTGAGGTGCTGGAACAGGTCCACAGAAGGGCAACAAGGCTGTTGAAGATCTTGGAGAATGTGCCCTATGAGGAGCGACTGAAGGAACTGGGGCTGTTGAGTTTGGGGAAGAGGAGGCTGAGGGGAGGCCTTACTGCTCTCTTCAAATACCTGAAAGGTGCTTACAGTGAGAGTAGGGTTGGTCTTTTCTCACTGGTGACAGGTGACAGGATGAGGGGAAATGGCCTCAAGTGCACCATGCACCATGGGAGGTTTAAGTTGGATATCAGGAAAAACTTCTTCACAGAAATTGTTGTTAAGCATTGGAATAGGCTCCCCAGGGAGGTGGTTGAATCACCATCCCTAAATGTGTTTAATAACAGTTTGGATGTGGTGCTCAGGGACATGATTTCACGGTGGGTAGTTAGAGTTAGGGTAATATAGTCAGGTTGCAGTTGGACTTGATGATCTTTAAGGTCTTTTCCAACCTGAGCAACTCTGTTATTCTATGATTCCATGATTCTGTGATTCTTTTTGCAATCCTCTGTTCTCTAAAAATGTCTGCAGTAAATGGTATGCTGGTTTGATTTGAAAGCACACCTGGGGAGTGAGGCTAATGCTATGCCCAGCTTGTACTGTGATGAAACTCTGTGTTCACCGATTTTCTTCACAAGTAAGCATTTAAGAGAATCACAGAATCATAGAATCTTTTGCATTAGAAGAGACCTTAAAGCCCATCTAGTCCAACTCCCTTGCAATGAATAAGGACACCTACAGCTAGACCAGGTTGGCTAGAGCCCTTTCCAGCCTGTCCTTGAATGCCTCCAAGGATGGAGCACTCACTACATCTCTGGGCAGCTGTTTCCAGTGCCTCACCACCCTCACTATAAAAAATTTCTTCCTTATATCCAATCTAAATCTCCGCTCTTTTATATGGAAACTATTTCCCCTTTATCCTGTCACAGCAGACCCTGCTAAGGAGTCTTTTCTTTTTTATACACCCCTTTAGATACTGAAAGGCCCCTATCAGCTCTCCCCACAGCCTTCTCTTCAGCCCCAGCTCTCTCAGCCTGTCCTCCTAGGTTAGGTGTTCCATCACAGAATGGCTTAGATTGGAAAGGATATAAAAGCCCGTCCTGTTCCAATACCCTGCCATGGGCAGGGTTGCCACACACTAAATCAGGCTGCCCAGGATCCCAACCAACCCAGTTTTAAACACCTGTTATGATGGGGCATCCACAGCTTCTCAAGGCAGCCTGTGCCACTGCCTCACCACCTTCTGAGTAAAAAATTTCCTCTTAACATCTAACTTGAATATCTCCCCTTATAATTTAAAATTGTTCCCCAGGCTATCTTACTCCTTTTCCAAATAGCAGAATCTCAAGCATTTTGGGGTTACTTATGTTAATCCTGCTTCTGTACCTTCCCAGGTATCTCTGGAACTCTTAACTCCCAAGCAATTTGCTTCAACACTATCAATGTCTCACCAGCCTGCTGATGAGGAAAAGGATGCAGGTTGGCTCAGATATGAAGATGTTCAGGCCAATGTTTTAGTGTACTTGCATAAAGCCATACAGTTGCACGGCAGTCAGCAGTCAAGAACAGCAGTGTTGGCAGGGACCAACCACACGTGGGTGAGGATGTGCTTTCTATCTGCCTGAGTCCCTTGGCTCTTCCTCCCTTATCACCAAACATATGCTCCTACAGGGTTCATGGAATCTACTTCATGGAGACAATTTTGCTGTAGTTTGCAGGGGGGTAAAGCTGTCGAAAGCCTTACTGTTTGCCAGGAGAAGCTACCCTTGGCTGCCAGTATACAGACCTCATCCTCTGAGGTCAAAAATTACACATTTTCAATACCAAACACTGTGCCAAATGATAGAGACCGGACACAGTTCTCTGCCTAGCTCTCTATGTGTGATAACATTCCATCTCTATCAGCTCAGAAAGCACCAGATCAATCGCTAAGTTATGTGGGGATCAATCCACTCAGAGAGTTTGCAAAAAAATTTCTTCTTAAGACAGTGACTAGAGCCTCATTTTAAGAGCCAATGTAAGAACCATTAAGTGAGCATAATTGGTCCGCAAAGGTTATTCTCTGCATGGTTACCTGTGCAATTCTGTTTGATGCTAGAAAGAATGGGTTTAGCCAAAAAAGAAAAAAAGCAATAATAATAGCAATAATAATAATAATAATAAGAGTAATAATAATAATAATAATAAGAGTAATAATAATAGTAATGCAGTAAACTGATAGATTTGTCATCTAAACCCATGGGGACACTTCCCCTTTAAAGGCTGACTACTCTTACTTGCAAATTATACTGAGAAAGTGCATTAGAGAGATGCAGAACAGCATTTAACAGTGGAAGTGCTAGGCTCCATTTGTTCACGACATTCAAAGGGAGCAAGAGAATAGAAAGACTGTTACTTTGCTATCAAGAACTTCTCCAAAAGTGATAGAGAAGAGGAAATTTCCACACTAGTTTCACCAAAAATACAACAGAAAATTCATTCAGTTCCAGATTTGTCTTATTCTGTCCCATATTTTCTCCCCTCAGGACCCCTCTTCTCACATGACTCACATTTCTCCTCAACATGACCGAACTATCAAAAACCTTGTAAATTTGGCAAAGCAGAAAAACCTGCTATTTCTGATGGAGCAAGAAAATGGCCTACAAATCCATCCTCTTTTCATCTTCTCACTGCCAGATCCTGTGTCTTGTTTCCATTTACAAAAAGATGATGTTCTTGGTTTCTTTTACTGCATGGTTTCATCCAGAATGTACACATGGTTGCCTAATCATGGCTGTTCAGGAAAGATCGTCTTCTGATTTCTAAGCACAAATCGAACTCTAAATACATATTCACCCTGCATTTAATGAGATACCTCAAAATGTTGAACATCTCGTTCAGCTTTCAGCAGAACAACAGATGGAGATAGGAGATTGTTGCCAGGGAGACTGAAAACTCTGAGTGTAGTTTCACTGGTACTGTTTGCTGGTGTAGCTAAGGATGATGACTGACTCTTAGTCTTTCCGCTGTGGGGGACTAAATGGTTTTGGTACAGTAAAACCAGTCTGATGTCCAAACCCTTAGACTATACTGGAAATCTTCCTCCTTTGGACTACATTTTGGAAGGATTGACTGAAGATACAAAATTAAGGGTTATTCCTCCAGGTCTTAATTATCATAATTTCTAGATTTCCATACAGACCATTTTTAACATGAAAATATTACCGACAATTTTGTAATAACATTCCTGGTAGTTATATTAATGGCAATTGCCCACATATAATTTCAGTGGTTGATTAAAAGAATCACATAATTATGAAAAAAAGATCACCTCTGACTGGTAGTTGCACACCTAACCTATCCACTCCAATGGCTACAGATTATTTTGTTAGACACACAAATGTAACTCATGTATTTTTAATAGCCCAGGTATTATTTTTCACTAATCATATTTTAAATAAATCATAAAAGATTTTGCCCTTTTGTGACACCATCTGTTTTTCCCCTTTTTCTTATGAAATTCAGCTTTTATTTTATAATCCACAGCAAGATCAAGTATCACATTCTCTTAACACTCCATTAGCCTTGTGAACCCTCACACATATATCAGAGGAGTTGTATTGGGCTACAGAAAAGGCAAACACGATCATTTACAAATAAAACATGCAACCATGAATTAATGATGGAAATCCTAGACTCTACCTTCACTGCTACCAAGATCTTGTCCTGTTCGGGACAGAGGTTGTAACATTCTGCCAGAAACACTTTTCCAAAGGCTCCTTCTCCCAGCTCTCTTTTAAGAACAATATTGTGGCGCTTGATGTGCTGAACAACTGCAAAGAGAAGACAAAACAGAAGACAAAATGAGCTGCAAGGCTAAGAGTACATGCTTACAGATAAATAAAGGTCTGCCTGTAGAATACACTGCATGCAGTGGAAAGAATCATTGTGCCAATGCATGATTTATTAACACCTCGCCAAAAAAGGCTGATTTAAATATATTTATATTTGGAGAGTAGCGCATTTCCTAGGTAAGTAGATGCCAAAAATCACCTGGGAAAAGCTTACATATCACTGTGTTTTGAAGACTGCTGTAGACCATACTGAACAGCCAATGCTGTTGTGATATTTTCTTTTTCGTTTTTTAAAAAACATGAAGGAATCAGGAAACATAAGAAACCTTTCTCATATCCCTTCTAGTGCTGTACCTCTAACAACAGCTGAAGTGTCTCATCCAGAGTCAAAAACGTTTGGAAGAAAAAGATTTAAAATTAACCTAACCCATGGATACAAAACGTGCCCAAAACTAAATCCAGCTTACTCTCTGCACACACTTTTTCATCTGCTTTCTCTCTGTGTGCTATACCATAGTTACTTTAAGATATACATTCCATTCTCATAAATGCGAACTACAGTATTGCTCTGAACTAAGAGAAATAGAAGATGGACAAATGTTTTAGTCAGTGTCATGGACGGAGCCTTAGTGGAATGCTGCCCAGAAGCAATTGATTCAGACATTGAAGTCCTTGAGCATTTTTGTTCATCTCATTTCACAATCTCCTTCCAATGCAGGCTTCCATTTAGAAGATTTAATATTTAAAAGACTACCAATCACTGCACTATCAAGTCACAATGTTTCACCTAAATAAAGCATCTGCAAGTTCAGTTTAACTGGTCTACTAAACAGAGTGGACAGCTTTTGTTGCTGAAATCACACAAAACAGCTAGAAGCTACTGACACATTTAATCTAATCACATTAATTTAGCTGCATTTGCAAAAAATGAAATTCAACCCAGCTTGGACAGAACCTATTTGCAACTTAAATCCTAAATGCAGTGGAATAAGAAGCACGGCACAGGCATCAGGCCACCCTCTGCCAATGTACAAATCTCCCATTAACCGCTTAACTGCAGAGACAAGAGCTGACCCTTGTCAACAGTGTGGGATATATTCATATATAGCCAACTTCCTGACCCTTTGCTTGGCCACGTGCCTTTTCCAAACCAAGTTACCATTAAACTACCCTGCCCCATTACTAGAGAATGGAAAATGGAATGCTGATAATACCAGCAGCGAGAAGAATCCCATCACATCCCATTCCCACCAACATTGACAGCATTTGGAGAGTGGGTCCACAGTCCCACAGAGAGAAACTCCAACATCCTGCACCTTGAGCTGTGGAGGACACCCAAGGTCTTGTAAAATGCACATGAAGGGAGCCTGGAAGAGCAGCAAACACTGCTTGGCTCTTCCTTGGTACCCCTATTCTTGCCTGGGGAGCACAAGGTGCTTGGGCAGCCATGCCAGCTCCTGCCTGCTGTGAGAGGGCCCTGATGCCATCAGTCTAAGTCTATTCAGATGGAGGTGGTGGCAGCTGGGAGGCTGAGCAAGACCATGCAGCCAAGATATTCAGTTCCATACTACCACTGTTATCGCCTCAGAATGTCCACAAAGCCCATCAGCTTTGATAGCAAAGCAGAGCTGAAATTCTGTTCTACTGACATCAGCAGCAAAATCCTGTGTCTGCAGAGGGGAGGGGTGTCTTTCATTTCATTCTCTTTGCAGCTACCAGAAACTTGGTAATGACCACATCTGACTTTCTAGATACTGCTCAGGTCGTCCCCACTTTGAACACCAAATACCACCACTGCCCTAGCAGTAAGAAGACTTTTGTCAAGTTCTTGGAAGACTCCACAAACAATAGTGTAAAAATAAATAAGAAACATACCAGGTATCTCCCTATATATGTGTATACTTGCACTGCTAAATGCTCTGACATAAACCAAGCATTTGAATAAACAACCTGTCCCATACCAAACTGTCAAAAGCAAAACACTGCAAGCCACAGAAGAGCTTTGCTCAGAGTATATTCACAACTTGTCATGCTCTATCAATCCCTGTTACTTTTCTGAGCTGAACCAAGTTACTGAACAAATGAAAAATGACAGTAAATACAACTAAATGGGCGCAGATTAAATCCAAGAACAATGTAAGTAAATCAAACATATATGATGTGACAAAAATATAAACTAAGGGAAAAATCCATTTAGCACACTCAGAGCCACAGCCCTTATAACACTTTTTTCAGTAAGGAGATTCCAGGAAATACACTGAAAAATGCAAGTCAAAATCCGCTTTCAGTTAATATCAAGATAAAGCAGGTCATTTCCACTGAAGACCAAGGATTATCCTGGATTTATATTTAAGAAACAACATAGAATTTGGCCAAAGATTTGGCACAACTGAATTACCAAAGAAGTGGTCTCAGAACATTTTCTCAGAGGCGAAGATACACAAATACTCAAAGGGTGGTTATGTATTTTCCTCTTTTTCACTCTAAATGGTGATTGCACTTGAGCTGCCATTTGTGCTTTTAAAACCATGTCATTCCTTGTTCAAAAGATCGTTTGATTACTGTAAAAAATACGTTACATTAAGCTAAGAGCTAAGTCAAGTTGAAACACTTAAGAGAAAAATGAAACCTAAAACATAAAGTGAGACTATGCAAACTAAACAAGGGTATATGCTGAAAAGAGGCTACAGAGTTAAGTAATGTCTATAAAGCCTTGCCCAAAGAAGCAGCAGACTTTCCTGGATGACTGTGGAGAATGGGCTGGCAAGAAAGAAAATTGCAGAATAGAGTTTTCTTCTCAAAGTCCCAGAGGCCTTCAACAGGGAGAATTGGACTTACAGTATCTCAGACACTAACAAACTGCATGTCACATTGTAAATGATGCATTGAGGCCTTATCCTGCAAACACTATCTGCAGGCATGAGATTTCAGTCCCCAGGCAATCAACCTCTGATGGTGAGGCTGAATAGAGAGGATCACAGCACATTCTGGAGAGGATCCAAGCAATATGGGCAGCTCAGAATCGCCTCACCACGTTGAATTCAATGAGCTGGTTATGGCTGATTTCAGCCACAGACAGAAGGACACAACACAGTGAAATGCTGTGACAGAGTAAAAATGTTTTTCCCTCGGTTACAAAGCATTGGCCTGAACACTTTGCAACTACATGTGACCATTACACCACCTAAGCTGATCTTCTGCACAGCATGGAGCACACCACTGATTTAAATGACTTGTTCTTGGCAGGAAAATACCTTCTGAAAGGAGATGTGCCAGTCTTTATTAGGATGCCTGAGCTATTCATTTGCCCAAATGTGTAATAATTTTAATTGCTAATAAAAATGCAGACTTTTATTTTTCTCTTAATTTTTAGCTTGTCTGGCTTGTATCTACCTCCCTTGAGTTTCAGGAGACTTTACAAAATATCAATACTATTCTTGCTATTGGTAAGGCAAAGAAATGGAAGCCCCTCTCAGATAAGCATTTTTTCTAGTTTGTCAGTCATTATAGTTCCAGGTTTTTTTTTTTGTTTGTTTGTTTGTTTGTTTTTGGTGGGGTTTTTTTGGTTTTTGGTTTTGGTTTTGTTTTGTTTTGTTTCTCTTTCTTTTTCTCTGTACTGGAATTCACATTCTTGTATCACTTTCTGAGTGTGACACAAGCTTAAAATCATCACCTTTTGTACATCAAAATCACACTAGTCCTTTTAAGTCTATGTTTCCTAAAAAGTGCAAAAATTATAAAGCTTTGTGACATACATGAATGAACGTGAGCACAGTGTGAACACCTTGCTCAGCTGTAGTATCGCAAGTGCCAGTTTCAGATATAGTTTCACATACCTTATGAAAACAGCTGAGCAGAAGAGAGATCTCTATAGTTATGGAGGGGCTACATCAGGAATTCACTGCATGATGGACAGACAGTAAGAGCCATAGCAATTAGGCTTCATCCTCACTACTCAATTAACTACCAACACTAGAAGATTTCATAGTGTTGCACACCCACCCAAGTCACCTGCTAAGAGTCTTTTCCAGGATACTGTTAAAATTTTCATTAGTGGTACATATGTGGAACATACTGATAATGTCTGTTGTACACAGTGTTTAAGGAAGAGAAAAAGGATCTTCAAGATGTCAGATAACCAGACAAGATAATATTATAGACATATTTACAATTTCATGAGAAAAAGGCAGCAGCAGAACAGATTTGTGATATGACATGAGTTGTCATAGAAAGACATTTTACAAAGTTTCTTCATTATCTACTCCCATCATTTTTTTTGCAAGCACTACAACTCAGGTCTTTCTAAGATATTGCTAGAAAAAAAAAAATAGGTGTAAATGGCTGAGTAATTGCTCAGATTGTATACTGAATTTGTTCAGCATTTGTCATTCACATAAAAGGCAGGGTGGAATTTCAGAGAGAATCATATAGCAGGAAGAAACAAAATCACTACAGATAGCAGACAGCAAGTCTAGCCCAGTGACCTTTGGATTCTGCAGCAACTGTAGCACTGCAACCCTGTGTGCTATTGGCAGAGTAGAAATTTTGGCACACTGAGATATCTACTCTCTAACATGATAATAAAATGGCAGTAATAACCACCAGCATCATAAAATAAAATAAAATAAAATAAAATAAAATAAAATAAAATAAAATAAAATAAGATGACAACTTGCCTGTCACGACTGCTTGTATGTAGAAATAAGCTCTGTATTGAGAATATATTTCTGATTATTTGGTGTTGCTTAACCTATACAACATCTATTACTCACCATTCTATTTACATTTTTGTGTGATGCTGCTGTTTAATTATTACCATATGGCAGCAACAAATCCTCATGCAAGATCAATATCCTGTTCTCGAAAGTGCAAACAAGCTATCAGTCAGTTTACATGTATACAGTCCACACTTGAGACACAGATAATCCCTTTAATGAGATTATAATAAGCCAACAGAAAATCTGCTTTTATGTAGTCTA